CGAAAAACGAAAAGCCGCTAAATTAAAAGCTGTAAATAATCCTAGCGAAGACAATCTGGAATACTTCCGAACCTCAAAGAACGAAACGACAAAATTGCTCAAAAATAAAAAAAAGGAGTATCTTAAAAATAAAATAATTGAAATAGAACCTAATAGAATCTAAAATAACTTAAGAGACATGTACAAAGGTATAAACAGATCACGTAAATGTGTAGGCCCCGCAACGTCTGGAATCAGGGATGATAATAAGAATATTCTGACCGATCCGGTTGACATATTGAATAAATTTAAGGACCACTTTGACAATATTTTAAACACGGGAAATTATGATCTGTGTCCTCCTTCTGAGTACCAGAGTGCTGAACCGTTAATAGAAGGACCAAGTAAAGAGGAAGTTGAGTTAGCTATTGGAAAATTAAAATCTTATAAAGCAGCGGAAACCGACAATATTCCCACTGAACTAATTAAGGCATGCGGGGAAGCTGGAGTTTCTAAAATACATCGGTTGGTTAAAAAGATCTGGGTGAATGAGAAATTACCTAAAGAATGGAAAGAATCTATTCTTATTCCGATTCACAAAAAGGGTCCGAGGACGGATTGTAATAACTATCGAGGAATTTCACTCCTTCCGGTATGTTATAAAATATTTACGTTAATCTTAACCCGTCGAATCACGGAATACGCCGATGAAATTATCGGAGACTGCCAATGCGGATTTAGATGAAATCGTTCGACTATTGATCAAATATTTTCTTTGCGGCAAATATTAGAGAAAAAATTGGAGTACAAAGGTATTGTTCACCAGCTGTATATAGATTTTAAAAAGGCTTACGATTCTATTGACCGCCAGAAACTGTATAATATTCTAATCGAGCAGGGGATTCCTAAAAAATTAGTAAATCTAGTCAAGATGTGCTTGACGGAGACACTCAATAAAGTTAGAATCGGTAATAATCTGTCCGAAAAATTTGAGGTTCGTTCGGGTTTAAAACAGGGGGATTCCCTTTCGCCTGTCCTGTTCAATTTGGCATTAGAACATGCCATTAGGGAGGTAATGCGTACCGAGAAAGGGTTGGATCCGGGTGGGACAACATCCGTGCTGGGTTATGCGGATGATCTGGTACTGTTAAGCGAAGACCTTGAAACTATAAAACTAAATACGACAACGTTAATGAAAGCCGGTAAAGAACTAGGACTCGAAATAAACGTGGATAAAACAATATATATGGTTAGCTGCAAAAATGGCAATACTTCTGGTGATATCGATATAGATGGTAATATGTTTGAACAGGTAGATAATTTTAGGTATCTAGGTTCTACGATAACTAGAAAAAACGAAATTGAAGAAGAAATTAAGGTTAGACTGAAAGCGGGAAATGCTTGCTATTTTTCTGTTACAAAACTACTCAGTTCGCGCCTCTTCTAACTTAAAAATTAGAATCTATAAAACAATTATCTTGCCTACAGTTCTTTATGGGTGCGAAACTTCGCCGCTTACATTAAGGGATGAGCAGCGTCTTAAGGTTTTTGAAAATAAAGTATTGCGTAGAATATTCGGACCGAAGAAGGATGAGTTAACCGGAGAGTTCAGACGGTTACATAACGCCGAATTGCGTGAACTGTATCCGGGTAATATAATTCAGGTAATTTCATCGCCGCGAATCAAATTGGCTCGTAAAGTTGTTGGACTTAGTAACGAGAGAATTCCTAAAAGGTTAATATTTGTTGTGCCGAATGGTAAGCGTCCGAGGGGTAGACCGAGGCGAAGGTGGGAAGATTGCATTAAAGCCGATCTGTAGGGACTGAGTTTGGACGGCGAACGATGGAGGGAGGTGTGCAATAAGTGATTGGTGGTGTCGGCATCGAACCTTCGGGTTCGCTAAGCCTTTTTATCATTATTATTACTGATCTTTTACGTTTTATTATGTTTAACATGCATGGAACGATATAATCTAATTACTAACTACACTAATTTAATTACATTAAATAACAATAAATGTAATAGAACTCTAAATATAATAAAATAATCTATCAAAAAAAAATGTGCATATAAATACTAAAATAACAATAACATGCGCATGCTAACTAAATAAATTTCCATATAATGCTGCTTAATAGTTGGCTCGAGAAATAAATATGATAACTATAAACACAACCAACAAATAATGTAACTCTCCACCAGACGTCAGCCTCCAGAAGGTATCCTATTCCTTGTCGACCTAGCAAGATATTCCCACTGAAAAGAAACATCTATATCATTTCTCTATGTAAATCGATATTGATAATGACCCCTCATTACTGAACTACACAAGGTAGTTCAGTTTGCTTGTGAAAGGTATCCTAAATGTGTTATCTGCTCGTGGGAATTTATCCTAACAAAGGTGTATCTTCTATAGTCTTGTTTATCACAGAGTACAGTCTAACATGGGAGACATCCACTCGTACCAACTCTCACCATTTTCCGAACCTTCCTACGGTTTTCTCAGCTCAGTGTTACCACCGGTCATAGTTCGCAGGAGGTCCAATATAGCTCCCTCTCACATAGCTGTTTTGAATTTTTTTTTCGGAATTATTTTACCATCCAGAGGGAGAAATCACTAGTTTATTTTTATATTACATTGTAAATTTTCTCTATATTTTCTCTTTTCTATAAATTGGTGTTTTTTGTCACTTTTTTAAAAAAATTTTCACCATCCAAGAGACGGCGTCATCTGGCAGAAAAAGCTATTGATAATTTCAATAATGGGAGCAAATGGAGAGGTAAAATACTTGCGTACCTACTTCTGTGCCTTAGCTTAGCCCTCTAGTAGACTTTTCCTATTTTTTAAATTGATTTTGATTTTATTGTTGTTCTTCAAAATATTGGGGGGCGAAACAATATTCGCAGCCCTCCCGACCTCTGCGCCTATGGTTTGTCATTGTTGAAACCATTTAAAGAGGACATTGGAGTGCCTAATATAAGGTAATTATAAAAAAAAAAATCTGATTTTATGTCCTGTCACCTAAAACATCAAGTATTTCACAAAACATTGCAACAATAAATTACTGCAAAACCTTTATTTATTTTTTTCCATGACTGTTGTGTCTCGATTGTATTATCGATTATTTAGTGATCCTTGTCTTTGTGTTATCTTCCTAGTTTGTTCAGTTATTATAGTCACGATGCTAAAGTGTAATAGTCTATTGTTTCTCTCAATAAATAAGTGTATAAGTAAGCTGTGTTCTACTGACTATCCATCAATCTAGATGTGACAAAGTAAGATAAAGAAAGTGAAACCCGCAGCTTTTAAAGCTAGAGAGGTACCACAAGCACTGAAAGCAGAAGTAGAGCAAGAACTCGAGACACTTGAATAGCAAAACATCATCTCAAAAGTTCAAGAGAGTGACTGGGCTTCTCCTTAAGTTGTTGTTTCCAAGGTGTTGGTAAAGTGCGGCTTTGTCGATTATAAGGTTGGAGTGAACCCCTCAACTTCAGGACGCACATTATCTTATACCAAGAATTGATGACCTTCTTACAGCACTCCATAGTTCAACGTATTATTGTTCACTGGCTTTAGTTAAAGCATACCTCCAAATCCCAGTCGACCAGGAATGCTCAAAGATTCAAATGATCATTACCCATAAAGGAACCTCTCTTTTGGCATCAAAACTGCACCAAATGAATTCCATATTCTACGCTATGCAACCTGGCTCACAAATTTTGACTACAAAATTGAACAGAAATAAAGAAGAAGAAAATGTACACGCCGATTTCCTTTCAAGATCCTCTATTCAAGAAACTATTTCCCAAATCGAACAAAATATTGAAGAAGAAGTCTCATCAATTTCTAATGAAACCATATATACTATCTCCAACGATACGCTCAATTATAAAACTATCGCTGAAGAAATCTCACGAGATGAGCAACTAATCAGAATAAAAGCAGATGTTTTGAATGGCGAAAGTAATAACACCGAGTTCTACCTGAAAAACGGCATAATTTTTAAAGAACAACGAGTAGTCGTTCCAGCCTCATTACAACAAGCAGTTCTTAACGAACTTCATCACATCCACGCAGGAGTTATAAAAATGAAAGAGTTATCCCGGCAATACGTTTAGTGGAAAAATCTAGAAAAAGACATTGAACATCTCGTCAAAGCTTGTCAGGAATACGGACGAATTAGAAGAAATCCTCCCAAAGCACCGATTCATCATAGGGATGAACTATCAAAGAATTTGGATAGGGTCCATATGGACTATGCAGGGCCAATCCAAGACAACCACTTTTTCGTTTTAGTAGATGCAAAAATCTCGCTGGTTAGAAGTCCGTTTCTCCAAGAATGCACCAACAACAGTTTCAACTGTTCAATACCTTCAAGATATATTATCAATTCACAGCCAACAAGAGTCCTAGTCTCAGATAACGCAACAATATTCAAAAGCGAAACATTTCTAAAATTTTTGGTGGTGTAAATCACAGATGGTGTAAATATGTATACACCACGGCATTCAACAAAAGTTCAAAGCACCAGGCCATCTCGTCACCAATGAAATCGCAGAACGTAATATTGAAAATTACTATATATATATATATCGGTATATATATATATAAATAATATATATATATATATATATATATATATATATATATATATATATATATATATATATATATATATACGTACAGAAAAACTGTTTCTATAAAATTAAAGCTGACAAATTTCCTTCCAAAATATACCAATTTAATTTTTTCGTATTCGTATATATATATATATATATATATATATATATATATATATATATATATATATATATATATATATATATATATATATATATATATAATATGTGTGTGTGTGTGTGTGTGTGTGTGTGTGTGTGTGTATAAAGAAAAAGAAAAAAAAGGAACTTTACACAAATTAAATCTTTACCTCCTAAGTTCCCTCAATATATTCCAAAAGTTAAATTATACACACTCACAATATTTATATGATGTATATATTTTTGTATGCTGTTTCAGTTAAATCCATATATGCATTACGGACGTTCACAAGTCAATTGTGGAGGAAAGAAAGATAAGCATCCTTGGTGTCCTAAGAAGAAAGTGACTTGTAGGCAAAAACCAGCACCATGTAGTCCTAAACCATGTAAACCACCACAATTTGCCTGTCCACCTAATGATCCTCCTGATCATTGTCCTTATATACCGCCAAAGTGTATAAAACCGTGTTGTAATAGTGGAAAACCATGCATTCCACCTAAAAATCGATTTATTCCTCCTAAATCCAGTGAAAAAAAAATATAATTAAATATAACCATACAGGATGGATATAATTAAGAAAGGTCTTAAAACCAATCATCTTTCATCCATGAAAAAATTCTTTTTTACTGAATGATTAAAAAAAACAATAATAAAAGGCTATTTACAAATTATAGGTTCGTTCTATGTAAGATATTTTCTATATATTTTTTAAGCTTACATTGAAGAAGTTTAATGTTTAAAAAAAATTGTTCTATAAGGGTTAGCATTAAAATTGTTACATATATAAAAAGAAATTTACTTCGGCTCCACGATAACCTCAATAAAGGACCAATGGTCGAAAATAGACCTGCGCATAACAAGCGCAATGAGAGGTTTATTCTGCCTGTCAAAAGTATCGAAATTCTAAAAAATTTCAAATTAAGGCTGTGCTAATGCTATGAAAAAGCCGCTTCTGAAGTACGATTGTGAGAACTAACCAGTACCATAGAAAGAAGTATTGAAAGATTTGAAGAAAAATCCTCCTATGATAACCGAAGTGATTTGGGGTCAGAGTACCGACGCATGGACAACCAATATAATCCTGCTTACAGAAACGGGTCAATCAAAATATGATGATATGAAAGCAAGGGGGTTAAGATGGGCAGGGGGATGTAGATCCGAACAATCTATCTAATCGGTGGTACAGACCTCTTTTTATCGAATTATTAACATCCCTAAAACTTCGTAAATAGTTTCATCTCATCGTAATCTACAACTATTCTATTTACGAAAACTCTTGGAATTGGGGCGTTTTCAATCTGGACAGGTGCAAACTTTGTCTATTTAATCAGGCACTAAAAACTCGTAAATACACATTTGCTTTCTACTTGGATCAAAGATAATTTAAGCACAAAATCGAGAAAAAAGGTGGCCTTCAAAAATATGGAGCAATTTGGTGTGACCTACACCCCCAAAATTACAAAATAACGAGTTTATGTAGGAAAAACGGTTCAATATTTTTTTAGAGCACCTTTTTTTATCTATTTTGTGATCAAATTATCTTACGATTCAAGTAGAAAGCAAATGCACATTTACGAGTTTTTAGTACCTAATTAAATAGACAAAGTTTGTCCCCTTCCAGATTGAAAACGCCCCAATTCCAAGAGTTTTCGTAAATGAAATAGTTGTAGGTTAGGATGAGATGGAACTATTTACGAAGTTTCAACCGGATGTTAATTTATCGAATCATTAAAGGGGTCTATCACGGACTAATCAGGAAACCTCTGCACAACAATAAATGCCTCAACAGTAGGCAAGAAACCACGTGGGAAATCAAAAACCTGGTGGATTGATCGAATCAACAAAGATGCAATTGAACTTTATGCAGATAGCTGGAAAGAATTTCGGCAGAAATGGAGAAGGGCGGTTAAGGCGGTGAAAGATCTCTGAAAATGCAACAGAAAAAGTAATAACAAATCAATAAAACGAAATTAGCCAAATCCATAGCATAGAATGTGAGCAACAACACTTACAATGTTATGTTATATGAAAGTACAGCCTGTTTTTCATTTGTTACCCGCTAACCGCGATAACTACTGGTTAGAATTACTCTTTGATTTTCACGAAATGGTTTATGTTGTACTTTGAAGGCTTTAAGGGAATGTTAACTATACTTAATCAATTTTATTGTTATTGTTATTTTATTTGTTTTTTGTTATATCAGGTTGTCGAGAAAACTAGTATATACGTACCTGAGATCATATATTTTCTCCACAAGCAGTTACTGGTATTATTAATATATTAATGTATTGGTCAGTGAACTAAGAGCAATTAGTGTTGTCCAAACGCGAGACCAAAACGAGTCTCGGTCTTGCGCACGAGTCTCGCAACAGTCTTGCAATTACCTATTAGCTTATTACTATAGGGATATTACTGTAATTTTTTAGATAAGACGAACCTAACTTAGCCCGAATGAATAACTGAGCTAAATACAATATATTGGGTGTGTCTTTGGTAAAAATGGTCTGATTTTTGTTTTGTTTTGTAGGGGATTCTGAAAGCTTTCAAATTTTGTATTTACGATAAAGCATTATTAATTGTGTAGCTTTGCAGAAATAAAATTTTCAAATCATTCTGGATGATATACTTGGTTTAATCAATCAATGAAAAATTAACGAAGATATGACAAACCCAACACCTTTGAAAAGTAATATTTATTTTTTCTTGGCGCTACGGTCCTGCAAGAACTGGCTCTCTTGTGATCTTCTACTCTCCTCTATCACGGGCCAGCATTGAGAGCATTAAATCTTGTCATGCTACAAATTTCTTTAGGAGAACTGTCTTTAGTGAACGACCTAAGTGATAAATAATGTATTACATCATAATTTAGGTAATAAACTGATCAAAAAGCTGTTCGTTATTTGTATGGTGTATATTCACTCTCCCTCTTCCATTTATTGAAAACTGTTATTATGTTATTAGTATACACTAATCTTCGCCCCTCTCCCCAATATTTCTTAAGTACAGGCGGATATGTTATTATCTCATTTATGTAACAATTAGGTATCTAACACCGATTTTCGATCTTCCAATGCACTACAAAGAATTTTTTTAGTTATTGATTATTGTGTTCCGAATGTCCTTTTTACTTTGTCAAAAAAAGAAATATTGACTTTGTTCTTGCATTTTTTCCGAATCTATTTCTTCTCTTTCTTTCAAGCTTTTTTCTTTTCTTTTCATATCTAATTAATTAATTTGACTCAATTTCTGATTGTTTTCCTTCCACCTCACATCGTTTGAAAATAGTCGTATTGGCTGAATTACGCAATTACTCTCAAATATTACTGAGTGCGGGAACAGAAGTGAAGACCCCGGAAGATGGCGCTGGTGGATAAGAAGGATGACGTCGGGTTGGTGGGGAGGTGGCGGTTGACCGTCAGTGAGTGGCGAGCTGTCCTCGAGGAATGAAGTTCGCTGAGCATCTGTCGGCTCACATCACACCAGAATGGCGAAAACAATACATCAACTACGAGGTAAGAAAACACATCCATTGTGTTTTGTCTTATTTTTGGTTTAGGTGCTAAGTTCACATTAGTCGACTTCAAAGGATATAAGCTCGATGTTTCGTCTACCGGCTCGAGAGCGTTGCGTCCGTCTTATTTACTAACTGTCTGCTGGGATGTTAATTGCATTTAATTGAAATGGAACATGTTCCCATTCTGTTAGAAATTTTATCTGTCTGCCGCAGTCGTCATTGGTAAGGAAAATGTGGAGTGATATGGAGATACCCGTGTCAAGGACCGTGGGGTTCGTTATTTTGAAGAAAACTACTCCATTGTGTTTTATTTTTATTTATTTATTTATAATTTATCAAAATAAAAAAAAAAATAGATAAAATTTTTCTAGTTAAATTCTACAAATATTTGTACATTAAATTCGTCCAAACAACGTCCAGAATTTACTACTGTCATAAAATTGCTGTAAGAAAAGTGATATTTTCGCCTTGGCAACTTCAAGAACTGTTGGGAATTAACAATCTTACACAAATAAGTTTATTATCTGTTATCAATTCATTCTTGGTTCCTTTGTTGATACAATGATAAAAGTGATTGTGAGAGAGCTATTTAATATACTAATATATATCCTGTTAATTTAATTATGATTTAGTTCACTTTTCCATGAATGGCAGTCGCCTGAATGCTTAAGGGAACCAATCGTGAATTCTATTATAAATTCACAATTATAAAACTACGCATTTCGAATAACACACCCGGCACGTGATTTTTATTCCTTTTTTTATTGTAATCATAAATTTTATTATATTCTGTATTTTTGATTAATCTATTTATTTATGACTTTTGACAGTGCTAATTTCCTTATAATGCATATTTCTCTTATGTATTATCGACCCAAATCGATTTATCAAATAATTAAAAAGAAATCATTTGAAAAATTAATAAGCTTGAGAAATATATATACATATATTTTTTGTGTTATTATTCTCAATTTATGTTGTTGAACCGAAACGACTGTTTTTATTTTTGTTTGTACACTCAATGCGAGTTTATTTATAAATAAATAGCAACGGATTGATGGGAAACAATTAATTTGTAATATTGAGGAATATTGGAAACTTTATCTTTCAGATAAATTATATGTGTTTTTAAAATACTTTAATTGCTATACTTTAAGCACACCGTCTGGATCTTACGTAGTTCCAAATGCAGGGAGCATGCTGGTCGGAAGACGCGAGATCATCCGGAAGTTTGTCCAATTTTTCAATCATGTTATTTATTTTTAGTAAAAATAACGTATGTGTATAAATTTTTAATCATGCACAAAATAATGTTTTGTCTTTAATATAAATATTACTGAAAGTTTACAACACTCTATGTTTAAAGGCACTAGCGGATCCAGGATTTAATTTTGGGGGGGGACTTCAGCCCGAACGATTTTTTTTCATATACGTATAACGTTAATTAATTAGAAAAAAAATATTAAAGAAATTAACTACCTATATGAAATGGTGTTTAAGAGGTTCTTGAAGTCCTATTAAATGTAATTACACATTAAGAATACTTTAAGAGATAAATTTTTAATCTTTTTTTCTGTAAAACATGGTTGGTTATATTTTACCATTTTGTGGGGGAGGGGCTTCAGCCCGAAAGCCCCCCGTAGATCCGCCCGTGTTTAAAGGTAATAATGTAAGATGACATTGAATAGATCGGGGTCTTAGGTTCCTGAAGAAATCGTCTTATCGTCTAGTGGCTCTCTCCAGTGGAGTTTCCTTCTATCAGTCAGATGCGTTCAAGGTACGCCTGTATCTTGCGCCACTGCAGCTATCTATCGCACAGTGGGCCCAGTCTGTCTAGTGGGACTAAAGTCAAAATATCGATAGTGGATTTTTTTTATGGAAAATGACACTAAACGTGTGTTTATACACCGATGTAATTAGATACAGAAGAATTAGTCGAAATATAATACAAACAGTAGAAATAAAAGCGACGGTAAACATCAAAAAATGACATAAAATAATAGGAACTGGTGATTATTAAATAAATTTTACATCTTTCAGTTTAGATTTTTTTCTCAAAAATATGGTTTTAATAGATAGAGACGAACGTTTATGTGTTAAAGCTAAATTCAAAGTTTCGTTTGAGATATTAGTAATATTTTGCAATTGTGTAAAAATTTGAAATATTCATATATATATATATATATATATATATATATATATATATATATATATATATATATATATATATATATATATATATTATATATATATATATATATATATATATACATACTTCATTAGATTTAATAGTGAAAGTAGCATCTTTTAAATATATCTTTACAATATCATCAGTTACTACTCTGAGACACAACTGACGCCTCTTAGTTTGTTCAAATTTAGAATCCTGAATTGCGGATAGTCCCAAAGGGATAAAATCACATTGCATCTAACAAAAAAAAAATAAAACAAAAGGTCTGCTAAGTAAGGTCAGTTGAGCTTCTTCACCGTTTTCATAGGATGAAAAATATCTATATTACAAGGTCTAAAATTTTTTGTGTGAGAATAAAATCTCTGGGAGAAATCATTTTCGGAAATTCAGTTATCCTTCAACATATGCGGGCTTGTTTGTTACATATTAAAAAATAAAAAAAGTGGAAACTTCACAACTTATTTAAAGAAAAAAAATTAATCTTTAACTGTTGTGTATATTTGTCAGTTCTTTTCCCATTTTCCTCAACAAATTTATTATTTTCGTAATACCTTTCCTTAATTTTTGTAAGTAGTAGACTTATATTTTACTAACTTTTGTCAAAACGATTTTCTGTGAGACTAACCTTACTATTAGATAGGTTAGTTTACCTAGGCCTCATTTTTAAGTAAATAATTTCATAAAAGTAAATAGTTGTTTATATCCCTAGTTTATATTTTTATAAACCATTTGCAACTATTTTTCTTTAAATAGTCAAGTGGGCAAGAAATAGAAAAAAAAAAAAGGTGGAAACTTCACAATTTACTTAAAGAAAAATAATCTTCAACTGTTGTGATTATTTGTAATTAATTTTTCCATTTTTTTAACAAATTGATTATTTTCGCAATAGTTTTCCTAAATTTTTGGAAGTAGTTGACTTATATTTTTCTAACTTTGGTCTAAACGATTTTCAGACACTAGGAACTAATTATTATATCTCCATTTTTCTCTTGATGTCCAATACTATGAAGGACAACGCCCAAATAAGCTTATCTATGCTGTTTCTTTGTTTACATCTGAGCTAAATTGGCGTCAGCAATGATAAGTAATGATCAGTAATGATTGAACGTGTAGGGGTCTTCATGATCAAAGCGATCCCGAGCAATCTTTGCCATTCTTGTGACCTTCATTCACGAATGATCGTGTAAGGGTCGCTTAGCTGGTGATCCACGAGTCATGAGTGACCCACTTTGATTAAAATTATTATATCTACTTTAATCTTATGAGTATTTTAAGCTTTTATACCACCTACAATAAATCAAAATAATGAAAAAAGTCTTCAGTAAAAAAACACTATACTACTTATTCATTAGAAGGTTATTATTTTTCAATTTTCTTAGACCTCTAGACATTACGTTTTCTTAAAGGATTCCACACTGATTATAGTACTATAATTAAGCGACATTATAATTAATTATTATAATTCATTCTGATTCTAATTCTAATAATGATTTCAGTATGGAAAGTATAGAATGCGTCGTTAGTTTACTTAAATCTAAATTTGCTGTAGGTTTCCTTACACTGGAGTAGCTCCCAGAAAGCATTAAAATCTCCACTGTATCAAAGAGCGCGAATATCGAAACTGAATTCATTTAATTAAATATTTTATTTTATTTTCAACAAAAACTCATATTTACCTGGTACATAAGTATGCCTATGGGCCTCATGTATTTAACCTCCAAAGGTAGTGATTATGAAATAAATAAAATAAAAAACGCCTGTCAAGTAAGGCCCAATATATAGTTTCCTCACCGTTTTCATTGGATGAATAATATCTATATTACAAGACCTAAAATTTTTCGCATGAGAATTAAATCTCTGAGAGAAGCTGTTTTCGGAAATTAATAATCCCTCAACATATACGGGTTTGATATCCACGAGTTTTGTTCATCAGCGAATACTAAAATGCGAAAGAGTTCCGCATTTGCAGATGACCTTTTGCACTAAAAATAGTGATATATATATATATATATATATATATATATATATATATATATATATATATATATATATATATATTTAATAGGTATGTTTTTACCATAAAACGCATGGAACGAAAAATCAATAGGAAATATTTTACTTTTTGTTTGTTCGGAGTTAACGAGTCAATAAAAATGTGCGTGATGTTCACACAACTTTGATATTTAAGAAGGAAATCGAGACACAATCACAATTAAGACGGTTTTTTTTTTTTTTTTACAAATTTAGAGAACAAATAATTTTAATTTACTGAAAATTACACGAAATATTAGTAACGGCAATAAGTATCATGCCAGTACCGTTTGGAATCGACCAAACAATACAGTATAAATTAACTTTTTGAATTAAACATAGAATAACTCCATCAAAATAATGTCTTAACCTAATTCCCACTCCGCTTGGTGAATGCCTTTCACATTTCACAGCCATTATATTTTTTAAATTAATTAATATAAATTTTAAATGTTAAATGGAATTCAATTCCTTCAAGTTTGGGCCAAATCGCACTCACAGAGATTAACTAATTTGCGGATATTTAAGAGAAAGTAGTGGACTTAGTTCAATAAAATTGACAATACATTGATTTTTCACCAATACCTTTAATTCAAATCTGACGAGGAGTTTCTGAAATATTGGAATATCTAAAAAAATACGTTTGCTCGTACATAAGCGGATGTGCTGAATAGAATTAGATAAAATTGATACGTGACAATCTAGACACCAACCCGCACAATTCCAGAAAATATAATAAAAATAAATTATAAAAAAAGGTGGTATGTCCGTTACAT